CTTATTATCATAGAGCCTTAATCTAGTGAAAGTGGTGACTGACAAGGGCGTTAACTCGTGAAGAGTCTATGACATCGCTAGTGAACCCTATCAGAGTGGTTTCCCCCCAGCTTTCATATTTAGTAGACAGAATCCGGAAGTTGACTCCACCACACTCGCCTGTCCCGGTTTCGGTACAGCTGTTTTGTCCAACAGAAGTAGAAATATACGAACATCTTGACAATGTGGACTGCACTTGTGTGTTCGGTTAGCAAAGAAAAGGTCAAATAAAATCTATCTATCTATCTATCTATCTATCTATCTATCTATCTATCTATCTATCTATCTATCTATCTATCTATCTATCTATCTATCTATCTATCTATCTATCTATCTATCTATCTATCTATCTATCTATCTATCTATCTATCTATCTATCTATCTATCTATCTATCTATCTATCTATCTATCTATCTATCTATCTATCTATCTATCTAGCTATCTATCTATCTATCTATCTATCTATCTATCTGTCTGTCTGTCTGTCTGTCTGTCTGTCTGTCTGTCTGTCTGTCTGTCTGTCTGTCTGTCTGTCTGTCTGTCTGTCTGTCTGTCTGTCTGTCTGTCTGTCTGTCTGTCTGTCTGTCTGTCTATCTATCTATCTATCTATCTATCTATCTATCTATCTATCTATCTATCTATCTATCTATCTATCTATCTATCTATCTATCTATCTATCTATCTATCTATCTATCTATCTATCTAGCTATCTAGCTATCTGTCTGTCTAAACATATTACACATCCCTAAACCTAGGATAGACCTTTATAAAACAAGTCTGTCATATTCCGCAGCTCACTTGTTGAACTATCTACCACAGCAAATCAAAAGTGCCACTAGTCCATATACATACAATCGGAAACTGTTCGAATATTATCTGAGCACCGATTATTTGCCCCCATAGAAGATAAAACATATGTGAAAAATTGCGCTCATTTCTCTTAGATTTGTTACAACTAATAGGTTTTACTGTAGTTAGAAATGTGCACATTCCAGTGCTTGTATTGATTATTTTGATGCTATTGCTAACTTTTAATATTACTTGATGTGTGAATGAAAATGATGTAAGAATGGAGGGAGACCTCGAAGGGCAGAATGTTAGACGGGCCTGCGTGCCCAATTCTTAACCCTTTAAAAATAAAGATTGTTCGTTCGTTTGTTTGTTCGTTCGTTCTGTCTGTCTGTCTGTCTGTCTGTCTGTCTGTCTGTCTGTCTGTCTGTCTGTCTGTCTGTCTGTCTGTCTGTCTGTCTGTCTGTCTATCTATCTATCTATCTATCTATCTTTCTATCTATCTATCTATCTAGCTGTCTGTCTGTCTGTCTGTCTGTCTGTCTGTCTGTCTGTCTGTCTGTCTGTCTGTCTGTCTGTCTGTCTGTCTGTCTGTCTGTCTGTCTGTCTGTCTGTCTGTCTGTCTGTCTGTCTGTCTGTCTGTCTGTCTGTCTATCTGTCTGACTGTCTGTCTGTCTGTCTGTCTGTCTGTCTGTCTGTCTGTCTTCATGACTCTCACTTTCTAAATATTTGGCAACTCATAGATCTTCTATTTTTTTTATGTTCATTGTCTAGTTATCATCAGCGGTGTGGTTTGGAAGGGTAGAAGGGTTGGTGAGAGGAGGAGGGGAGAGCAAAGATAGCCTGTGTGCTCTTTAATTATAGGGCATCCGAGGGCATCGCAACCTTGTCAAGCCTCTAGAGGATTTGTTTATGCTTCGGCAGTTCCTCCAGACATAGCCAAAACACTTCAGTTAACTACGTCCCAAGTGCCTGCAACAGGCATCTCACTCCCGACCTCGCAGATACACCTATGTGACGTACAGTGACAACCCTCTGACGATGCTGCCCAGAAGGGTCGCGTCACAAAGGACACAAGATAGATGCACCTCTTGAAAACTAAAGGCCTCCGACCTGCTATCCCAGTCATTCACCAAAGTAACGCTGACTAATCATCTCGTCAATCAGGATCCGATACTTTCCCCACATCACAACTACGCGTTGGTTAAAATCCAAGGTCCCTGTTAACCAGCTTGCCCATAGTCGCAACAGTCCACCTGGTTAAACCACCATAGGCCCGTCTCTCTAGCGTAGTTGGCTAAACGGGATTGCGCAGTGAGCGGGTGACGAACTCCTTTAGTCCGGGTTCACTCCCGGGGGTGGGCAGAAAAGCCACATTTCTCCCAGATTTACGGTATTTAGGAATAAACTCCACAGGGGAGGATTACAGCAGTGATCTACCAATCGTCAGTAGAAGTAATCTCTCGTCGATAAACGTTTCGGCCCACGAGCTTCTAGACGTTTTCAGAGAGTGGACCCACCTGAGTTCATGAAGCTCAGGGTTGGTTTCCCTGCTGCACGAAATTGCCGGATGTAGTTCGGATAGGACAAGACGACTCGGTGATTTGCAGAAGGTACTGTGAGATAAGAAGTCGTCGCGGTAGCATAATTAGAGCAGTCTGCACACCTAGACGACCGAGCGACAAGCTTACGATTGGTATACCGGAGACATGTTGGATTTTTGTTAGCAGGTGGCAGACAAATATTGGCAGACAGTTCGGACACGATGGACTTTCAAGGGATGAAAAACTTTTTTTCCACTAGACACCCGGACCAGCTCACCGAGGCCCGTCCCCTACGTTGTTCCGTTGCGTCCAGAGCCAGCTCGAGGCCCTCTCAGCAACCTCGCCCTACCGTTTAAGTGTCCGTATCCTAGTTCTTTAACCACATTGTAGAGTGAAGTGGAGACGAGACCTCTCGCTCCCACTTCGACGGCAAAGACACGTACTGTGTACGCCTCGTCTCTCCTCAGACCGGCTGCTAAATCACAGTATTTTTCGAGCTTATACATGTGATTTGTGTCCTTACGCGACTCATACGGGACGGTCAGCTCAATCAGGATGAGCTGCTGTTTCTCCGCAGAGTGGAGAACTATGTCAGGTCGCAGGCCGGTCTTCCGTATTAACTCAGGGTACCTTTCATGGCCTGGCAGATCAACCGCCAGTAACCAGTCCCTCGCAGAGTCTAGCATAGATGGAGCGTATGCGTTTCTGTTGATTCTACCTTTGTGAATTTGCCCAGCCTTGAGGAAACGTATGGGGACGATGGTAGGACTGGCCCTAGCGTTGGCCCGCATCCTAGCCTGGTCAACAACGGCTGCTAACTCTTTAAGCACTTTGTTGTGTCGCCAGGTATATCGGCCTTGACCTAGGGCTTTCCTGCATGCGGACAGAACATGTTCTAGCGTCTGCTTCGCTTTGCACAGCGGGCAAGTCGGATCGTTAGTCGCAGACCACTTAACCATGTTAACACCGGACGGTAATATATCGTACGTCGAAAGAACGATAAAGCTCAGTCGCAGCGGGGTCATTCGCCAGATCTCACCCCATGTGAGTACTCTTGGCAATGCGCTCTCCAGGCTGACCCAATGGCCCAGCTGCTTTCTGGACCCGAACCTCGTTTTCGTTGTCCATTTAAAATGGAATCAAGGCCGAAAGGTTGCAATATCCATAATACCGAGCCTAAGGGTTAACAACTCATGGCTTCTGGATACTAAAACAAACAAACAAACAAAACACCCTAGACTGGAAAAACTCGTGTACAAACACGTCTGCACACTAAGGCTAACTGAGAGGCACTGACTGGACACGGGTTAACCATTAGCTCAGCGGCTAGTCACGCTTGGTTCTTCAATACCAGTGGAGACCGCTGTTAGCCGTTAATTTCAAGAAACTCCTGTCTCATGCGTCAAGCAGCGTGGACATCTTGCACTCCTCTCTGTCATCATCATCATCATCATCCCCTAGCCCTTTACCACTGGCGTATGCGATCACGCTTCTGACCTCTGGTACAATCGAATATCAAAGTGAGTTCAGCACACAACACATACGATGTAATTTATCTTGAAAGGGTACACTGACGTTGGTATTGGACACACACTGATATCTGACTAAGCTACAGTGGTGCATAACCTCAAAAGAGTCACGAAGACGGTGAGATACTACATCAGTGGTTTTCGATTTCCATTCAAGTAAAATCTTCAGAAGTCTGTTATTATTATTAATCAAGCGGAACACAAAGAAAGATAACTAATTTTAAATTCTAGTGCTTCTATCAATACACCTCCACGACTCCAACGAGTCAAGGATTATGTTGTGTTATGTTATCATCGAAGGTCTACAACATACTCCATTCTATGTAACAGTTACACAGACTGACTACCGTTTCATCCCACCAAGACATTACACCGAGCGATAAACATTCAGTGTTACAAAATACCACCATTCGGATGAGAATCACCCCGGCAACAGCCAACGTGTGGTTTTAAAATAATCAAACACTGCATTTTACAAGGGGACATAACTATTTACGACGTCACGACTGACTGACTTTCTACCCCACCAGGACATCACACAAGCGATAAACACCCAATGACACAATGTGCCACTATGTGGGTGAGGATCACCGTGAGGGGTCAGAGAAACCGCGTTAGTCTTTAGGCCATATTTATGGCCAGGCTATATTGCGGCCCCTGGCAGGAGCCAGAGTAGGGCTTGAAATAACGAAACATTTCGTCCTAAAAAGGACAGGAAGTTGTTTACACGACGTAACCGTCACAATGAGCAAATTTTTGTAATTTATTAATATTTGAAATGCAGAAAGGATTGCATTCTCAACTGGAGCGCCTGAGCTTGTTTGTGTATGTGCATATTTATATGTGCGGTCATGAGTGTGCATGCGAGTTATTATCACGAATCCCTTAAAATAATCTCGCATACTCTGCTGGTCGCGAAAGACTATAAGGGAAATACTGCACTTCGTGGTCACTCACTGACCATCAATGTTGCCTCTCTTGTTATTTCAATTATCTTCACTACAGTTGCTTCATTTTGAAAGAATGCCTCATTGCCTTGAACCTCCAGAGATACACCCTCAAGTATATAAATCATCTATAAACTAACAATCGAGACAACATGTCTGGCGAGTTGTTCAGCTCGCCCGCGCTCGGGGATCATAAAAATCAGACACACACACACACAAATTATATTTATACCAAGTGGCTTTTTGTTCCCTCTGTCACTATGGAAACAGTTTATAGACTTTCTACTGGGCGATCGTTCGACCCGAGTCTCCACTATTTCCGTTAAGTGGTCTTAGCCTGAAAGACGTTTCCAAGAACGGACGTCTGAAAAAATACGACCTGAATAAAGCTAATGTACCATAACTTCCACAGTCCACCCAATAACAAAGGCTCTGTTATGAGCTGTTATTTATGATACTATAAAAACTAATAAATGTGATGATGATAATATTCAGACGGCAATTTTTGCCTAACTTATTTTACTTGCTTCAAGTGCCTGTAAGTGATATTCATTGGCGAAGGGATAGCGAGATACTGTTGGAATGAATGCGAGAAACCAAATACAATGAAAGCCATTTGTTTGTGCTAAGGGACTGGAAGGGAAAATGAGAAGCAAATATTGTTGTTAGTCTTGGTAAAATAGGAGAAATCAACCTGCTTGCATAATAACTTCTGCAACGCGTTCGGAGGGAACTGAGCTCATTTAGGTGACTCAAGAGGCGAGGAAGAATTGGTGGCGCTGAATTGGACACACAAAACAAAAACAAAACGTATAATAAAATAATAAGAATATCCGTGTATTGAACCTTTAAGGGCAAAGGAAAGAAGAATGGGAAGGATTTGAATAGAAGAAGAAGAACAAGAAGAAGCAGAAGAAGAAGAAGAAGAAGAAGAAGAAGAAGAAGAAGAAGAAGAAGAAGAAGAAGAAGAAGAAGAAGAAGAAGAAGAAGAAGAAGAAGAAGAAGAAGAAGAAGAAGAAGAAGAAGAAGAAGAAGAAGAAGAAGAAGAAGAAGAAGAAGAAGAAGAAAAAGAATAAAAAGAAGAAGAAGCAGCAGTAAGATGCCTGTGTGGGTTCCACGGCTCCATTTTGGAGAACAAAGTATATGTATAATGATCCCCGCCCCCTCCCACTCCCTTCCTGGAGAGTATGTCGTAGGAGGTGACTAAATAGGGGTGTCTCCTTCCAAGTCGAACTGCATCTGCCTGAAAGGCAAGGAACCAATACTTTGAATAGGCCACAGGCTATGAAAGTTTTCAAACATTTTATAGAGAGCTGTCCATGAAAGAACTGCCTTCTCGCAACGACCTGTGATGGTTCAAAGCTGATTATTTAACATATTTACAACAAACCTGGAGTGAACTCCACTATAACACATTCCGGGCAAGCAGAGAAAGCCCAGAGGCAAATAATGCAGAAACAGCTTGTCAATTCGATCCTGAGCCATCCTCTCTATCTCCAGTTGTGTCCTTCGTGTAGCCATTTTTTAGCCTCAAAGGTTCGCCTCCAAGTGCCTCTGGGCCTGCCTCTTCATCGCTGTCTTTGTGGTGCCCATTGCATTGTCTCGACCGTCTCCCTGTCTTTATTCTGAGGACATGTCCAATCCACCTCCATCTTCGTTTTAGGATTTCTAAATTTACATCTTCTAAGACTGCCATTTGTTGGAATCTAGAATTGCTGATTTTTATCTTTCCATGTGAGCCCCAACAATCCTCTGAGAAGTCTTCCCTCAAAACCCCTGAGCATGCTCTCAATCTTTCCGTCTCCATAGAAGTAAACGGTCCTAATGCATGTTTTGTGTATCCTGGATTTTGTTTAGTGCTGTAGATGTTTGATCTCCAGACACTCTGAAGTATGTTGTGAGCAGCATTTGCCTATGCAATTCTCTGTTTGATTTCAAAAACTACATTTCCATCCGAGGAGATATTGCTTCCCAGGTAATTAAAGTCATTTAATGTTTCCAAACCTATATAATCTATTACTATAGATCTTTCACTTTCAGTGTTTCTCTCCAGCAGCTTTGTTTCATTGACATTGATACTTAACTGTGTCCATTTTGCTATTTCTGTGATCTTATCTGTCTTTTGTTGCAGATGTTCTCTACTTTGCCTAATGACACAGATATCTGCAAAATTCAAATGTAGAAAGATATTAAGATAAAATCATTGACAGCATTTTGAAATGACCAAGTCTCAGTCACAAACTAATAATATTTTTGCAATTGCAATGAAATGAATAAGCAGACATTTAGTTAGTGATGATGGTGATGATGACGACGAAGATAATTATGATAATGATGATAATGAAGATGCTGATAATGCTGATGGTGATGATGATTATGTTGATAATGATGTCGTTGTTGATGATGATGATGATGGCTCAGCTGAATTAAATAAAGGCAAAACATCCTGCCAGTTAGATTATAAGCTGAAAAGACAACGGTATGTGTTGTATCCGCTGAAAGTGAACTAGTAGTAGAGATAATCAAATTATGACAACGAACTTTCAGACGTCAAGAATTTTCCAGACTTATCAATACAGGAGCACATAATTACATTGCCCAAATGCAGGCTGTAAATTTTCTCACCAGTCTTCGTTTGTCTAGCCCTCTTACGAAGGACGTGTGAACCGCGAAGGAAGATGGTGAGATCTAGCAAGTGTTGTACAAGTGCGTTTGGTGCAACACTAAGATACAGTCTCGGGGGACTGACTTTTCAAACAGTAACTTAATTAATACTGTAAGCTGTCTGCAGCAGTCTAGAATTGAAAACTTGTATTTGACAACATGATCCAGCGTGAAATAAACTCTAGCTGACCGCTCACACGTCGGCGTCTGTGGCTTAGCCGTTGTGAATGCATTTCCGGGGACCGTTCCAAAGTCAGCTCAACCTAAAGACGCAAAATCGTCAGGCTTTATGTCGACCCTAACACTCATCCAGTTTTGAATAATAATTTTAAAAAAGTAAAGATCCCTTTTCACGCCTCAGGCGCATTGGGTATATGGGAATAGGGACCCATATTTTTACAGACCAATCAGCACTGGATGGGTAATGTGGTTGGCATTACGCCGGCCGTCTTGACTTCACCAGGACAGCCATCCTGGTACCCATTTTAGGATGGGTCGACCTGCGACGCCCCATACCATGATAAAAATCCAAGCAGTCAGCAGTGGGTTTCGATCGCGGTACGCTGGAGTGGGACTCGCAATGCCTAAACCACGGACGCCGCGAGTTTTAAATATCTAATAAATAATGCGTCTACAGTGTGTTTCAAAACTCATGCCGTCACATGTTAACAAATATATAGAAATTTCCGGTACGGATCATTACGAATTTTTGCCTTAGATTTATTATGTCCTGATGGTTCTTTAATTTATAATTACGCAAATGCTACTGTGTTCCTAAAAGCGGCGAATTTCTATTATCTTTGTGTAATTCATAATTTATGTATCACTGAAAAATAGTAATTGACACGTTTGGAGATTGTTTAAAAATCACTTCGCGTGTGCAGCGATGCGTCGTTGTAATTTAATTGATCAAATAATGAAACATCTACAGCTGACAAGAGACTTATGCTGGAGATGACCACCTGAGAGCGAAACGCCTATGACACGGTTGCAATTTTGAGGTTTTGACAAGTTCCCTTTACTCATTTTATTCAAGTTACTGTAGGCATGCTGATTGTTTGATTTGATTCGATGACTCTTTCTTCATAAACCACACACAAGGCAAAATGAAAACTAAATGTTTATTTACATTAAACAAAAATACTCCCAAGGCAGAAGTCCACTGTGCGTGGAGTCACCTTTAGTTTTGTTCATGGAGACTCAGGCGTCGATGGAAATGAAAAAGCTGATAGGTTGGCTTGATCCACTATCACTACCAGCGGTCAGTCGATGGATCATGCTGATATTATTAATGCCCTCTGAGAAATTGGAAGGATAGAGGACTTTGGGGGCAGTGAATCCACATCACTCGCCAGAATGGCAGACTTGGGAATTAGGATCGGCATTGCAAAAAAACTAGACGCACACCAGAAGACTTCTTAATCAACATAGAACTGGTACTATTAGCCATCGGACGTTGGGGTTAATACTGAGAGAAGGATCTGAGCACCAATGGGCATGTCGGGAGTGCAATGATGATAACCCAACTAACTAACTAACTAACTAACTAACTAACTAACTAACTAACTAACTTCCAAGACAAGCCAGATTTCAACAACTTACATATAACAGTTGCTGAGTTACAGATGTTTTAAAGTTCAGCAGGACTTTTCAAACGCACTACATCACACAATACGTTAACTATTGGTAAATCTAGTACCACTAGTTGACTCTAACGACATTCAAGCATCGACAGACTCTTCTCTTGTGTAGTATATCACTATTTGTCGGTGTTTTCTTTTTCAGACGCAATGGAACCACCATACCCAGAACCACAGTTTCTGCCGAGACTTCTCAACGTCACAGCAAGGGAGGATGGCAAAGCCGTCTTGCCGTGTGCCGTACATCATTTAGGAACAAAACACGTAAGCTCTTTTTTTTTTCAGTAATTAATCTGTGCCAAAGAGCAGATATAAATTATAAAAAGAATTTAATTCCCGTTTAAAAGGCATCCCGGAATAGGCTTATAAGTGATGGATAAAAGTGTGTGTGATAAATACAAGTGGTAAGAAGCTAACAGTTGTCACAACTGACCATAACTTTAAGAAAACGATGCTACCACAGACACTTCTTCTGTGTTAGCCCTAAAATTCAGCTGTTGACATGCTGTGTTGTAGTCCACAGCAAGGCCTATGTGAAAAGCTAATTATTCGTTTTTACGACCAATTTGATGTAGTTGGAAAGGGGCAGGGGGCGGCCTAATTTGCAGTCGGTCTACTGATATTTTCCTTCGGCGCTTGACCCAGTTCCCAGATGGAAATAATAGGCACAACGTTTAAGACAAGCAAACCTATGTAGGGACAGAGCTCACAGAAGTAAACCGCAAGCAGTTTTGAGCATGTTAGTAAAAAACATTTTCATGAATGTACATATACACGTATATCTATGTGTAAATGTGGGCAACGGGGAGGGAAGCTCACAAACTGTCTCCTCTGGTAGTAGACAAGCTACTTCTTCGGGTACGTAATGAGAAGGGAAAAACTGGGGTACGTAGTTACAAAGAAACAGATTGGGGACGTCGGTAGACTGTGAGAGAAGATGTTGAATAGTTTGTCATCATGGCATGGAGGGTCGTTTGTCCTGGAGATTATGTTTAGTACGTGAGCTGACATGATTGCCAACGCGACAAACAGGCACTGTAAGAAGAATTCATAAAACGCCAGGAAGTTGCATATAGATCTGAGACGTTACAAAGCATGTTTTTAAAACTGTTAGGAATCTTTTTCCATTTCTTTAATCGCATTGATCCTAAATTTTTTGACAAAACTTATCAAAATTCTGAAAAGAAATCAGAATTATTATGAAGAAAAAAATAAAATATGAAAACTTCATATTATGACAGATACCACCCAACCCTATCCTTCGCTGGCTGCTGGTCTAGAAGGGAAGCTCCGACAGGCGGACAAACAGCACTGCTGTTCTGATCTGACATGGTATGCAGCATGCTTTGCTCCAAGCGTTGCCTTTCCTGTTGAGTAAACAAGATAGGCTAGGAGACGGATCATGATGCACGAGCAACGCTTAGTCTTTGCAATACTGTCTCGGCTTTGTGCAATAGGGGCTGCGTGGTCTCGAGGCATGGCGTCCGCCTGGTGTACTATAGGCCCCAGGTTCAAACCCCGTTGAATACTGGTATTTTTTCACGTGTGCTCCTAGTAATTTCCCCTGGTCTCTGGGTAGTAAGATCGGACCCCTGTGTGTATTGTTGCTCACGTAAAAAATACTTGGCAGTTGGCAATTTAAAAAGAGTTAAGGTTCTGCCCGGCAAAATTTGTAATTTAAAATCTACCAAAAGTATTTCAGGATCACGACCGATGCTACGGATTGTGTGCACTGCGCTGAGATTCTTCGGACTCACGCTTGAGTCAGAAGTAGAACGGAGCATTGTGGGTTACTACCCTTGTGCCATGCTGTTGATCCGTCGTCTAAACCTAAGCTATGGAGAGGAGCAAATTCATCCTTGCTTTGTAGGTCTCGGAAACAATATGGGATGGGTTCCCATGCCACTTCCCTACCCCCTCCATTTTTTCCGCATTGCACAATAAAACACTTTCGCCTGGAAAGGCGGAAAAACATCAATCAGAACTCAATAGGTGATATGGCCAAATAGCCTTTTTTTCCCACAAAATTGTTGGCACCAACTTTAGACTATATCTGCTTAGGAACCAATGTAAATGTTTTTTTCCGTCCCAAACTTTATAGGCATTTCAAAGCATAACAAATTTGTCAAACTTTAAGCATAATACACGTGACGGCACTGCTGTTCTCTGCGACAAACGACTGCATACAAACTGATAGAATCACGCCCCCTATGAAACAGTCCTGTCGTCTCCAAGGCTGTACCAGACCTACTTAGATTTGTTTACTTCTGTGATCACCAGGGGAGCAGAAACCTGGGGCTCCGGCACCTTGCGCATCAAACCCTAATAATTTCTCCCCCATCCGCCTTTAGAATATTAGTACAGATGCTAAGAAGAGATTCCCCCCCCCCCCCCCCCGCCTTTTTTTTCACTCACCCCCCCCCCCCCCAACGATAAAAATAGTTTAGTTTTTTTTTAATAATAATAAAGTATTTGCAAACAGTTTTCACATAATTTTAAATATACGAGGTTTCCATTAAAAACATTGTTATTATTATTACACACTTTTACAAAGCTTAGACACTTGAGCCTCTGTTCTAAGAAAATTATAAGGAGTTGTCTGCATCCCCTTGTGAGCCCCTCACAATACTAGTAAATTTAATTATTCCTTTGTTTCAGTAGCCTCTAGGGCTCCCCAGTGATTGATGTTTTGCAAGGAAAACAGACTGGTACAAAGTAAATTATTTTCTCAATTGTTTTGCACTACTGCTGGCTCCTGAGGCAAATGTAGGAAATTTGTGTGGAGCTAGTTCCTATCGTATGTGAGCCAACTAGTAAAAGCCTCTAGTGAGTCTATTCTAAAACACAAAAAAAGGGGGGGGGGTGAGGAGTCTATTTTCAACGCCTTGAAAGCATTAGATACATGGTGTTAACCTTGTATGTTTAAGGCAAATCGGTATTCGATGGTTCATGTCAAAAACGTCACGCTGACAGACTTTACTAGCCCAACATTTTACGGTACATATTTCACACAAAGTGTGTCTAGTAGCCCAAGTCAGTTAATTTATTTTTTTTTTTTTTTAATATTATTGTTGAAAATTATAATGTAACTTAATTATTTGGATAAATAATGTCGCCGATATTGACATGCTTTCTTCCCCGTGTGGGTTCTGGGGCCCCATTGTAGGGAAAGGGGGGAAGAATACTGTCTAAAAGCATGTCTTATGAGTCGACTAATTCTGAGCTTCCTTCGAAGTCGGAGTACATCTGCCTGAGAGGCAAGGATCCAACAGTTTGCATGCAAATAACTCAGACTTGTGAAATGAATGGACTTTCTGGAACAGGACTAGAGTCCAGAAGTTGACGAACAACCGCGTTTTTAGCTGGAGTTTACAGCCGGCGAATGCGAAGAAGGTCTGCTTTCTTAGAAGGACCTAATTAAAATAAAGTTTTGAATTTTAAAAAAAATGTTATCACTAGATATTATAAAATTTAGAAGCTGTGGCTACTCCACTAGGATTATAACTTATCATCTGGGAAAAAATAGTTATTTGAATAAATATATTCAGAAGCCAAGTCGATTAATTAAGAACTTTAACCACATTTTTAAAAATGTAATAAGGGATGTTTATCATCGCCTAGTCTATTTGATATGTACAAAAGAATACTTTTCCACTTCTTCAGGCGTATTGAGCATACAGGGCTAGACATATATATATAATAGACCAAATCACTTGGTGAATGTTGTGGTCAGTTTCACGCCGACTGCCTTTACCTCCCAGAACTTGTACCTGGTAGCCACTCACGGTGGGGTCGACCTAGGGGCCAAAGTCATTTTTGAAAAAGGTCCGGCTCCGTCAGGAACCGAATCAATGACCTTCCGATTCCAGTCGAGCATCTAGCCGCTACACCACAGCGGCTTGATTTAATGCTTACAGTAATAAAATACTGAGATTGATACAAGTGATAAGCAGAGTTGAGAATCCTGTTCGCGCCACTGGAGTCTCCTGCATACGGTGCTGGACGCATAGTTGTACTGAGTGACTGGCACTTGTCAATGATGTGGTCAACATCATGGTTGCCAAATAGCAGCTGTATCATAAATGGTTTTGAGTGGGTACCAGGTGCAGTCCCTGGAAGTAGAGGCGGCCGGCGTGATGATGACCTCATCACCCCTCTTGTGCCAATTGATCTATAAAAATATAGATCTAGCCCTATATGCCCTATGCACCTAAAGGCGTGGAAAAGGGTCCTTTACTTTACTTTACTTTTACTTACAAAGGGTTAGCACTACACCATATCTTCGACTTACAACTTATGCATCTTACGAATTTCCACATTTACGATCACACACAAATAATTTAAAAATAAGCTACGCTGATAAGATCCAAACGGTCCCACAACTGGCGCAATATAAGAAGAAGTCCACAGGGGAGCATGTACTGCAGGGGTCCACCGATCATCAGTAGAAAGATCCCTCGTCGACGATTTTTTCGGCCCGTTACCATTCCTATACAGTCTCGGAAGGTGGGCCGACCTGGGTCATGACTCCCAGGCTTCGATCTTCCCCTGCTGCACTTTACCGGATGTTCTCGGACAAGGACAAGAAGATATGGTGATTTGTAACAGCTTTTGTGAGAATTATTGATATTATCGCTGCGGCAGCACATTAGATCAGTCGACTCCCTTACGACAATTGTAACAAGCTTTCGGTTGGTTCATCGGACAGGTGCTAGACTTGGCAGTTAGACTCTGCCAGTCAACAGAGGGTTATTGGCTGACATTTCGGAAACACATTTCGTATATATTATGTACATTATTTACAATAATTATACGTACATAGATTGAGTGTTTGTGTTTTATGTACAGTAAACCCTCTGAATGAAAACAGTGTTTAGAAATAAATAATCGACTTAGGACCCGTTAGATGGAACGGAATTCGGTTGTATGTAATGAGATTCTGTACTAGCATAAGAAGTATGTGGACAGGCTTGATGACCAATGCCGCACTACCCCACTGTGTGAGCTATAAAATGAAGTCAGGCAAAATTGCGACAAATCTAAAGGAAAGGAAGTCACCGCTCGCCGCTTGTTTATTAAGTCGGTTAGTATTTCAAAGAGCTGTTTACCAAACAGTTAAAAATTATGGGCTCTCACGCGGAAGTCTCAAGTTCGAACCCTCAGTATGGTTATGCGATTTTATTTAAGCGGAAAGAACAATATCATCACAGCCTGCACAATCTGAGGAAGCTGTAGTACCATGCATACCCTAATCCTTAGACTTTCCCCATCCTCCCCCTCCCTCCATCTCTACACTGTAAAAGTGGTATATAAAACACAGTATGAAGAAGATATATATATATATATATATATATATATATATATATATATATATATATAGGTTAGTTGCGTATGCATTAAAGGTCGTTGCAGAACCACCCCCAACAGCCCCTGGCTGTTGTGTGTGTTTTTTAGGCAAATTTACGTCCAGTAGTTTGCCATTGCTTACTGGACGGACGGCTTTTTTGATACCACTGTCGAAACCAACGCAAGGCGCATGGCCTCCAGCTGTGATCGAACCCGGCATCCCGGCATTACGAAACGTTCGCATCGACTTAGCCACAGAGCCGATATATATATATATATATATATATATATATATATATATATATATATATATATATATATATATATATATATATATATAATATGGCTGTACCGAATATTCGCTTCGTATTCGCTTCGTATTCGCTTCGGGGCCGAATAGTGGACCTAATAACTATTCGGTATTCGGCCGAATAGTTGCAGTCGGACCGAATACGAATAGTGGTTACCTTACTCCCGCTTCTGCATACACTGTGATGGACTGAAATAACTCTCTCATTAACACAATAGTTGCTGTTGCCCAAGTCATTCGCAGCGGGGGAAACTGGGACCCGGTTGCGTGGTACAAACTGCATAAAATGCGAACCGCAGTGTGTGTGCGTGTGAGTGTGTGTCTGTGTGTGTGAGAGAGAGAGAGAGGGGGGGGGGGAGGTCATGCATTTTTCGTTCTTTCAGGATGTCTTCGCCCAAATCAAATTTGAAAATATTGCTAACGAGAATATGAAGGTGCGTTTAAATTACATCGAACGAATGGCCGAGCCAACGACGGTTTTGAAAGAGGCGGGAGCCCAAAGACAACTAATCACAGACATCAGAAGGAAACAGTCGTCATTTTTCAGCCATGTTATGAGAAGAGGGAAAATGGAACATTTGGTGACCACTGGAAAGATCTGTGGAAGGAGGGATGGAGAAAGAAAACGATAGAAGATTCTTGACAGTCTTGTTGCATGGCATGGAGGTGTGTCTGCACACGAACTGATACATGCTGCAGGAGATAGCAGACTGTGGAGAGGCATGATCGCCCACGCCAGTCGGCAAGGCACCTGATGACGATGATACACTATTCGTATTCGTATTTGGTCGAATAGTTAGTTCCACTATTCGTATTCGGCCGAATAATGAAAATCACTATTCGGTACAGCCTTAATATATATATATATATCATCATTATCATCATCAAGTAGCAGGTCCTTTGCAAAACGTCGCTCTCATCATGGTCTCCCTGAAAGAAACTCGGTCTCTCTCCAGCTCTCCCGCCTCATGCACTTCCATACTCAAGGAGTCACTTATATCCTGTGCCCATCGTCCTTCCTGGTACTTTGCCTTCTGCTTTAATTTGTCCAATTCCGTCGTGGCTCTTGGTATGACCAAAATATTTCAGCTTACGAGACAGGATGATATATATGTATACATACAATATGCAAACATGACAGTTTCTAAAGGTAATTGTTTTTCTGAGTGCTTAATTTTTATCAGTGCTTAAACTTGTTGATTTTTGTCAAGGTCACATGGCGAAGACTGGGAGATAACCACTTTTTGTCCGTTGGTGACCTCACCTGGGTCAAGGACCCTAACATAGACCTTCAGTACAATGAGCTGACACCGGAAGTCACAGAATGGAACTTGGTGATCAAGAAGGTCACACCCCAACACATTGGTACCTACGAGTGTAGAATTAGCGACAGGGTCCAGCTTGTAAGGTTCATACATCTAGATGTTGTAGGTGAGTTTTTTTTTTTTTTTTTTTACTGCAGCTGATACTACTACAATTACTGCAGCTGATACTACTGCTCCTCCTCCTCCTCGTACTACTACTACTACTACTACTACTACTACTACTACTACTACTACTACTACTACTACTACTACTACTACTACTACTACTACTACTACTACTACTACTACTACTACTACTACTACTACTACTACTACTACTACTACTATTACTACTACTACTACTACTACTACTACTACTACTACTACTACTACTACTACTACTACTACTACTACTACTACTACTACTACTACTACTACTACTACTACTACTACTACTACTACTACTACTACTACTACTATTACTACTACTACTACTATTACTACTACTACTACTACTACTACTACTACTACTACTACTACTACTACTACTACTACTACTACTACTACTATTACTAAGAAGACTACTACTGCTACCAACACGACTGCTTTTATTACTACTAAAACTACTGTCACCACCAAGACCACTAATGTTATTACTATTACTACTACAACCAACAGTAGAACTACTACAGCTCAATCATTGGTGTATGTTTACCCTTGTGCTCTTCTAATTCTATTTTTGTTTCTTTTCGAAAATTGATAGTACTCAAACTGTCTTTCTTTCTCGTCTTGCTCTTCTCCTGCTCCTCTTTCTCCTCCTGCTCCTCCTCCTCCGCCTCCTTCTTCTTTTTCTTAAATCCTGTATAAGAAGCTTAGAACTTTAACCAGCTTCAACCAACGACCCTATGTTTGCCATCGGCTGCAACTATCTCTCTCTCTCTCTCTCTCTATCTCTATCTCTCTCTCTCTCTCTCTCTCTCTCTGTATATATATATATATATATATATATATATATATATATATATATTTATATGTGTGTGTGTGTGTGTGTGCGTGTGTGTGTGTGTGTGTGTGTTCTCTATATTATTCATGTATGCCACTAAATCTTCTCAATGTTTGTGTGTGTGTTTGTTTTCTTAATCTTGTTTTCTTTGACCTATGGGTTGCAGAGGGTTATTTTAGTTCTAAAATGTATATGTGAAAGCTGTAGAATAACTAAAGACAATGAATTAACTGAGCTAAACAAATGCCTTTAGATTTTGGTAAACATTATATGCAAGAAATTATATAAAAGCAGAAAAACCAGAGAACTTTCTGGACTGCTGCTGGTACCAACAGTCAAATTAAAAGTTGCCCGTATGGGTTCTAGGACGCCACTGAAAAATAAGAGGGGGGGGGGGGGAGGGGGGTGTAGGCTCACTTCCCTTAACACGTATGTGGTAAAAGTGAACTAAATAGGTGTGTATCCTATGAATTTCAACTGTCTGACAGGTGAGGATCCAACAGTCCTCATACAAATCAAAGTACGGAAGTGAATGTCGGCTAGAATATTTCGACCAGAATTGAATGCCGGTGAACATACAAAAGTAAAGTAAGATGGCGGTATTCTGGGTACATTTCAAAGAAGCTGGTTAAGAATTACAAAACAGCCCCTGCGAATAGAAACCAACAATTGGAGGAGGTGATGAAAGTTTGCATAGATTCTGCGACGAACGTTGAAGGAAGATGCTTGAAATACCGGACTGTATTCCATATACGACAACCAAAAAGGGACAGAATAGAATGGGAATAGAAGAACCAACTGGCAGCATGAAATGACATTTAAATGACACCACGGGATAATGTCATTTAACGGGTTTTAAAGACAAGTCTTTCTACTCGTAGCTACACATTGCTACACAGTGCTACACAATGCTTCACAGTGCTACACAATGCTACACAACTGAGAGGATTTCTAACTGTAATTCTTTTTCCCCTCTATAATTTACTGAATTTTGTTTTATAATCTCCCATATGCTCCACGTTATGTCCACCCAGCCCCAAATCTTCAGGGATTGCAAACGGAAAGACGGACCAATTGGTTTAACGAGTCACTAATTATTCTGTCATTAATAGTTTTATGCGAAAGGTGGGACGGTTTGGAGAAACAAATGCTCCTTCTTCACTTCTTCTTTTACCGAATTAGGTGTCTCGACACATCGTGCAGTTGTAGAGTTTATCTGATGTTATATCTCCACGTTGTCTTTGGTCTACCTCGTCGTATACGTACTTCTCCTCTTCTCGTGTATGCTTAGTATGGAGAAAGAAATTCATCATCATCAGGTGTCTTGCCGATTGGCATGAGGGATCATGCCTCTCCACAATCTGTGCAGCATGTATTAGTTCGTGGGATAACACACCTCACTGCCATGCAACAAGACTGCCAAGAATCTTCTCTCGTTGTCTACCTCTATCCCTCCTTCGACAGATCTTTCTAGTGGTGACAACATGTTCCATTTTCCCTCTTCTAATAACATTGCCAAAAACAATTTACTGTCTCCCTCTGATGTTTGTGATAAGTTGTCTTAGGGCTCCTTCAGAAAGAAGGGCCCATGAAGAAAGAAATTACCTTATTACCTAATAAGTATCTTACATTCTCGTGTCATGTGTGTTTACGTTTACGTACTTCTCATTTCAGGTCCACCCGTTGTTGAAGCAGGTAAGTTTTCATTACCAACAAAATGATTAATAAAAAAGAAAAAGAGTTAGTGAGAGAGAGACAGAGAGAGAGAGAGAGAGAGAGAGAGAGAGAGAGAGAGAGAAAGAGAGAGAGACGGAGAAACAGAGAGACAGGGAGAGATACGAAGACATTTATTTTTAAAGGATCCTAATCTGGATCCCAGGACCCGTCTTTCGTTGGACCCTTCCAAACGCTCACCCTTCAAACACATTTGTAATATATATAGAGAGGGGTGTGATTTCGGGGCCTCAAAAAAAGGGGGGGGGAGGGGGAGAGAAATAGACCAACTGCGCCCCACATAGCCCCCCCCCCCCCACCCCGCCAACGAGCATTTCGTCTATGTCGTCTAAATAGGGGCGTTTCCTTTGGAATGCATTTTCACTTGAGAGGTAAAGAACAGTCTGTATACAAATAATCCAGATATGTAAAGCATAAAGTTGTTAAACAAGACTAAAGTCTAGGAGTGGAAAAACAACACAGAACTTTCCTTTGGAGTTTACAGCAGGTGGACGCTTAGAAGAAGCAGAAGAAGAGAAAGGATAAGCGAGAAAGAGAGAAACAGAGGGAGAGGGGTGAGAGAGAGAGAGAGAGAGAGAGAGAGAGAGAGAGAGAGAGAGAGAGAGAGAGAGAGAGAGAGGGAACAAACATACAATGTTTCTATTAAAGCAAAACCTAACAAGGCACACGATTTTTTTTTATAAAACAAGATAATAATTTTGCTTATTCTCCTTTTTTTTTTTTTTTTTACCTACTTCTTATGCCTAACCTTAGTTTCCTGTCTTTTATTAGTGTTGTAGCTTATGTTAATGTTGTGTTGGGTCTATCCAGGCAAAACCTACTTGGCAAATTGATTTTGTTTTCTTGTATTGCAATATGATAATTATTTTATCAAAAGTAACTTCAAGCGAAACTATGTTACGACATTAGCTTTATTACCTAGTTACATATCATTATGATAAATATATATAATGCTGGTGGTTTTAAATGATGATGATAATGATGGTGTTGATGGTGGTTATGACCAGGGCTGTATTAAAGATTATGACGCCCCTGTGAAATCATTTATTTTATCCCCCCCCCCCCTCCCGCCTTCAGCAAACTTCAGCATCGCTATACAGCATCGCCGACAATAAGTTGTGAAATTTAGCCGTTCCAAGAATTGTGCCGCTCTGTGCAGCTGCTCATGCTCCAAAATACCCAAGTACAATGTGCTTTCGTGATGAGGATAATGATGAAGACGAGGAGATGATGATGATGATTGTGACAATATTGATGACATTTTTGCAGTTTCTTATTATTATTATAATTTTTATTCTGATAGTGCATGCCATGTGGCGTCCGTAATCATGTCTGTTCATAAAATTCCATCTCCTGTACCACCATATTTTTGGTGCAGACGTGCTTTTTTTCCCCTATACACCGATGTCAGTCTGTCTAACATCCGCTTTCGGTATCTCCTCTCTGTCTCTCTGCATCTCCAACTTTCCTCTTGCCATGACATAATCCTCGACCTTCTCACAAGATCCTCAGAGAATGTGGATTTTGTACTTTATATATTTATGTGTCAAATAATTTTTGCTAGTCGCTACACCACTTCGGCTCCCTGACTCTTTATAAAGCGGACAAAATAACAGTGGTTTTAGTTTTCCATTACATTTGTGACATTAATACTAATATGGTGATGACATATTTCAACATATACTTACCATAATTAATCCTTTTTTTAACAGTCACCTTCCCGCCCATTGCCATATCCGGGAGGAACTACGTGGAGATGGGGCAGCCGATCCATTTATTCTGTAACACAACAGGACCCAATGGAATACACCTGAGCATTGACTGGTTCAAAGATGGCGACCGGATAGATCACATTAACTACAGACACGTAGTCATCACAAACTATAATTTGCTGGAGCCAAAGTTAGTTGCTGTTTTGATTTTTTGTGTGTGTGTGTGGTTAGATTGTTGGTCCTACCTGTATGCACCACGTTTTAAGACGGTGTAGGAACCGTCGGTCGTGCTACTGGGCATTTCGGGCCAGTGACTGTTGCAGTCAGTACGAAGTATGCTGGTAAAGTTGGTTGCTTATCCTTTGCATGAAATTGCAGAACCAACCCAAGCCTTTTTTGCTGTTGTGGTTTTTCTAGGCAAATTTACGTTCAGTCTTTGTAGTCTGTCGGCTCTGTGGCTAAGTCGATGCGAACGCTTCGCAATGCCAGGATGCCGGGTTCGATCCCAGCTGCGGGTCATGCGCCTTGCGTTGGTTTCGACAGTGGTATCAAGAAAGCCGACCGTCCAGTTGCAATGGCAAACTACTAGACGTAAATTTGCCTAGAAAAACCACACAACAGCCAGAGGCTGTTGGCTTTGGTTATGCAACGTCCTGTAAAGGATACGCAACTAACCTTTGTAGTCTATGTCGGCGTCTGTGGCTTAGGTGTTGCGAACGCACTTCGTAATCCTGGGTTGCCGGTTTCGATCCCAGCTGCGGGCCCTGCACCTTGCATTGGTTTCAACAGTGGTAGTGAGAACCTGGCCGTTCAGTAGCATTCCCAAACTACTGGGCGTAAATTTGCCTAGAAAAACCACAACAGCCAAATAATTATGGGGTTGGTTCTGCAACGTCCTGTAAAGGATACTCAACTAACTATGCCGGTTACAATGTTAATTTTTGGCCCCGAATGGACAAAAACGTGGATCGAACTTGCGTTCCCGAATTTAAGCCAGCGCTTTTCTAAAAGCAACGGTGTCGGTAATCAACACAAAGAGTCTAAAAACGAGGCCAGTACTTACCAGAAACTGTCTGCGTACAGCTGGAAACACATTAATATCATAAGTGATCAAATATTATGGAGTGATACATAGTTAGTTAGTCGAGGTTTCAACATCACCGCAGTCGGGTTTCCGCATACTTGCTCCGTTCCTGTGTCAGTGCGAATCAAATAAAATTTCCCTCACCGTTGCATATGAAAAACTGGTGAACAAAGAACTAGATCTGGAACAATCCAGAAATATGTTCACGCATTTAATACTTATTGTAGTTGCTCCACATAAGGACGGTAGTCCACGGAATGATAGAAAAACAAACGAATTAGTTCTCCTTGAGACGGGTGAGTCTCAAAATAGATTACAACAATTAGACCTAGACAGTGGGTATGGAAAGAGTGTGAGAAGAAAGCAAAGATTAATACCTGATGGTTTGGCCACGTGGATGGGGCGAGACAAGAACACTGAGCTGATCATTTATTCTGGTAATCGTATCAGATGCCAAACTTGACAGCCTACGCTTACCGGCACCGCAGATAAAGAAGAAAAAAAGATGCCTGGAGAAAAAAAACTTGCCCACTGTTGTGTACCGCCAGAAAAAAAAAAGCCTTGGTTCTAACTATTCGGCCCCCGCTTCTACGCCCAGTTGACTTTGTAATGGAATACAGTTCTGTAAGTAATCACAGGCTCGTAGTTGCTCACAAAAAAGGGCACTAGAACACAAAATGCGTTGGGCATATTCAGAGGGGTTCAATGGGTCACCACTTTATTTAAGTGGGTAATAATCAATTTTTACAAAAATAATAATAACCATAATAAAAAACGACCAATGTGCTAAATATAAATAGCACATAAATATAAGAATATATTTGTAAGGGAAAACAATTTGAAAACTAGTAGGCAAACATCAATCTATCGGGACCATTGACATATCCCGCTGGTTTCGGGAACAGCGTCTGCTGTGACTATCAAGTCCATTCGGGAGAGGCAGTCTCTGCCACATTCCCTCATAAAAACGATGATACGCTATGGTTTTGATGCTGCTTTTGTCTCTGACGCCTCCTCTCTCTAGCTTGCTGCGTTTGGCCTCTTTATAACTGCGACAGTCCGTCTTTTATTCTCTGCCTCGAAAGGAGTCTGTCTGCAGCTGATCTCTCCCAAATGTTTGTGTCACTGTTGATATCTTTCATTTAACGTTTGCATATGTCTTTATAGCGTATATTTCGACTTCCCGCGGGTCTTATCCGACCGTCCTATTTGCGAGAGACATGTCCCAATCAACGCAGGCGTCTTTGCTTAAGTAGAGAGTGCATTGTTGGCATTCCTGCTCGTCCAGTTTTCATTACCGAGCGTGCTCAGGACTCAAACTTTCTAAAATTTAATTTTCATCCTATCCTTAAGATTTTTGTTTGACCATACTCTCGTTGTGAGTTTAGAAAGCACTGAAGAAGCCTTTCTTATTCGTCTGTTTTGTTCTGCATCTAGATCGTCTGCCATACGAGAACCTTGGTATTCAAACTCATGTACAGCCAGCAGCTCATGATCGTGAACGCTAATGCTGGATGGTTTACCGATAGTCATTCCAAATTGTTGCCATGCATTTGCAAAGCGATTCATGAGAATCTGCAGATCAGCATTTGCAGTAACAGCTGCATCATCCGCGAAAAGAACGTTTCTGAGACCGCTTGTCTTCACCTTAGTCCCTGCACGAAGCCTGGACAGATTGGAAAAGTTGCCATCTGCTCTCGTGTGGAGATATATCCATTCAGTGGCTGTGACAAAAGCAAGCCGAAGCAAAGCAGTGAAGAAGATGCCAGACAATGTGGGAGACAGAAGGCAACCCTGCTTTACACTATTACGAATCTGAAACGGTGACAAATATTCATATTTGACGGTTCCTTTCATTTTCTCATGGAAAGATCGACGAGACACTGTAGCATGGATGGGCTAGCCGTGTTTAGTAAGGATCTTGAATAAAGTCATCTCTGCTAACATAATCGAAAGCCCTAGTGAGATTTATGAAGGTAAACAGTGACTTCTGTTGCTCCCATCACTTTTTTTTTTTTTTTTTTTTTTGTATCTACCTGATGGAGAAGATAATATCTACTGTTGATCTCGATGCTCTAAATCCACACTTTGATTCCGGATATACATTATCTGCTAGAACCGGCAGTCTCTTCAGGATCACACGAGCAAAGACTTTGTCAACATTGTTTAACAATGAAATGCTACGATAGTTATTACAATCGCTTCTGTCTCCCTTATTTTCCTAAAATGTTATACTGTTCGCATCTCTCAATTCTTGGGGTAGCAATTTTTGTTGTCTGCATTGACAGAGAATCTTGTGCAGCTCCGGAAGGATTGCTTGTTTTGAGCATTGCAGAATCTCGGGCGGGATACCATAGTTGCATGGGGCCCTGCCCGAGAGAAGCCCATCCAGTGCTTCGCTAATTTTTGTAACAGTAAGTTGAATGTCTAAATCCCTCATGGTAAGCAGACACTCTACTGCATCTAAAGCAGCACTGCTCACATAAGTGCTTATAGAATAGAGAACTGAGCAATGCTTTATCCAACGTTCCAGGTGGTGTGTGCGATCCTTTATGACCTCACCAGTGGCTGATTTGAGGGGAGGGAGAAGGGCTGCCTTTTTTTTTTTTTTTTTTTTTTGTAAACTAGTCCAAAAGCCTTTTTTTTATGCCATCATACATAGCCCTGATGTTGCCAGTAATGGCTGCTGATTAAATCTGCTCACTGAGTCTGATTCAGTATTCATTTGCACATTATTGTGCAGTCTTGTAGACTATGGGCCGGGTTGTAGGTTTCGGTCAGCTGGCTATTTATGTAGCCTAACAGAACACTTCTGTTCTTCTTTATTGTTGGCGGCACCTTTTCGGGTGAGCTCAAACAAAACTGGTGAATGGGTTTGTCTCTTGCTGAATACAGACATCGCGGAATCATACTTCTATCTGTGGCTGGCATCTGCGTCTGATGGGCCTATGCTCACTTAAGATTTCTACTAATTCTTCCACTTTCTCATGGTTTCGAGTTTGGCTCGTGTCAATGTACAACCGTCCTGACCACTTTGATCGATGTATTCAGGTTGGAAGTATCATTATTTTGCTGCATACCAGGGAGTGGTCTGTATCACAATCTGCGCTCTAATTGCTTAGGGTGCCTTGACAAGGCAAGGATCCCTACGCTTAGTGAGAATAACATGGAGCTGGTGCCAGTGATTAGATCTAGGGTGTCTACAAGAGACCTTATGCTGGGGCTTCACATTAAATCAGGTGTTTGTGACCCAGAGGTTGTGAAGAGAGCAGAGTTCGAGCAGCCGCTGTCCATTTTCATTTATTGCCTATAATATGTGAGGGCCCAACAGTGATTATTACTATACAGTAATATTTACCCCTTCATTTTCCTTTACTTTGTATTCACTTGCTTCCTTAGTTATTTATGCAGAAATGTTTTCATTATTCCCTTCAGTGTCCGCGTCAGTGAGCTCCTTATAGACAGAAGCAAAGCCTCCGACACAGGTACTTATATCTGTAGATCGGCAAACGGCTACATCGACAGTATGAAAGTCACAGTTCTCTTCGGTAAGATATTCACTCTACAGGAATTATCTTCTTCTTATTATTATTATTAATATTATTATTATTATTATTATTATTCTACGTCGTAATCTTCTTCTTCTTCTTCTTCTTCTTCTTCTTCTTCTTCTTCTTCTTCTTCTTCTTCTTCTTCTTCTTCTTCTTCTTCTTCTTCTTCTTCTTCTTCTTCTTCTTCTTCTTCTTCTTCTTCTTCTTCTAATCCTTTAGTTTACGCCCTTAAAAGAGCTGTTGGCAAGTTGTGTTGTGGTTTATTTGCTAGGCTGTGATATTTGCTCTTTTTGGCTCAACACATCCGATAAAAGCAAATCCTTAAATAATCTTGGTTAACAACATGTTTGTTAAGGGACAATGTTCCACAAACAGTTACCCCCCCCCCCCCCTCCCTTTTCCAAATCACCCTGTAATCCACACGGGAAATCTTGATCGTCGGTGCCTGAATCCATCACATGTTCCCAATCATTGTCATTATTGATCTTTTCTCACTATGTTTGCTATATTTCATGACCTCGTGACATTCACAAAGCGTGGCATAGGTCGTCATAAGAAGCAAGGTTATGTTTGAAAAAAAAAAAAGTCTGTCTCCATTGGGATTTGAACCCATGACCTTTGGATTTCGGATCTTTACGTCTAAACTTCTTCGTGTAGGGAAATAAGGAAGTGAGGTAGCACAGTGACTAGTTTACCTTCTGATACATCCAATATTTTCTATTGAAGCATTCTGTGGCAGTCATCTAGGTTTCGACAGACAACAGTTTATTGTCTGATCCATTTTTTTTTTTTTTTTCTTTTTCAAGTTGTGATCTGGCATCTCAATAAACGTGTTGAATTTTAGCCATCTCTGTTCTATGGAACTGAGTTACTAAATCAAGTGCATCATGTTTCTTCCTGATGTGGGGAACTTTTCTCTAACGTTATTGCTAGCTTTCAACATAATTTTTTTTTTTTTAGCCAAAGCTGTGTGTTATTTCTTAATTTTACTCTCAGGTTGTAAATAACTGAAACGTGATCGTTGTAGCATTGGCTGTGTGGTGGTTTTACGGGATTTCTGAAAGGTTGTTATAAAATCTGATCGATTCGAATTATGGTTCTGTCGCCACGAATTGAGTGGTTTTGGAACATGTATTAGGTAATTGGTTGATTGTTTAGTTACTTAGTTTTTGTTATTAAATCAGTCAGTCAGTCAGTCAGTCAGTCAGTAAGTTAGTTAGTTAGTTAGTTAGTTAGTTAGTTAGTTAGTTAGTTAGTTAGTTAGTTAGTTAGTTAGTTAGTTAGTTAGTTAGTTAGTTAGTTAGTTAGTTAGTTAGTTAGTTAGTTAGTTAGTTAGTTAGTTAGTTAGTTAGTTAGTTAGTTAGTTAGTTAGTTAGTTAGTTAGTTAGTTAGTTAGTTAGTTCGTTAGTTAGTTAGCTGGTTGGTTAGTTAATTAGTTAGTTAGTTAGTCAGTCAGTCAGTCAGTCAGTCGGTGGGTCAGTTAGTTAGGTAGTTAGTTAGTTAGTTAGTTAGTTAGTTAGTTAGTTAGTTAGCTAGGTTGGTTGGTTTTTGGCTAGTGTGCTAGTTAGCTGGTTAGTTATTTGGTTGGTTGGTTGCCCGGTTCGTTGGTTGGTTGCGTGGATAGCTGCCAAGCTGGTTGGTTAGTTGTTTGGTTGATTCATCAGCCTTGACATTCAAGTTCTGGATATGTACAGTCTGCATTTCTAGTGTTCGTTTCTAGCTGTCTAGCTGTTTAGACCCAGTCTAAAATTTGTACCAGAAAAATCCTCGAAGTAAAAGTAGCTAGCATGATGTTAAACAACGAGTGATAATCATCTTCTTCTTTAGCATTCTGAGCATTGAGGCTCATTGCTGCAGATACCTCCCGCCTCCACTCGTCTCGTAGGCACACCTTCTATTTCCAGTTATCTCTCCATCGTCTTCTTGGTCTGCCCCTAGGGTCTACGACCATTCATCTCCCTTGTGTATACAGTTTTTACTCCTCTTTCATCTGACATTATTGCAATATGTCCAAACCATTTCAGTCTATTACCTCTCATGATGCCAGTGATCAATGGTGATTTAAACAGATTAATAATTTCATTGTTGCTTCTCGCTGTCCATTTCCCGCTGTGTGCATCTTTGATAGGTCCAAAGATTCGACGTAAGTCTTCGAAAACCTGTAATAAGGCTTCATCTCCTTTAGTTGTGCTTCAAGTTCAGAGCTATATAAAACGATTGGTCTTATCAACGTTTTCTATATTTTGATCTTGGTGTTGCGAGACAGACACTTTGACTTTAGCAGATGTTAAAGGCACAGTACACTTTTTTTACCAGATTGTATTCTAGATTGTATTTCTTCTCTCAGCATGTTGGAACAGTTGAAGTTTGCAACCAACGAGTGACAATAGTTGCATAAAAGAATGTGTATACACCAATAGCCCTATGTGCCAATGGCGTGAAAAGGGTCTTTTGCTTTCTTTCTTTTTTTTCGTTCGTTCTTTCTTTCTTTCTTTGTTTTGTCCCACTGCTGATGTCATGAAGCCTCGCAGAGAGGATTTAGCTGTATCATGGCTGTTACTAGTTGTGTTGTTTGTTTTTATGTCACATTTCGTTTCTGTTGTGTCTCTTTTACTCCCTTCCCCTATCTCTTTCTTAGGCGGTCTCTTGTAGCCTGCCGTTCTCACGTAATCTATTCTATCTGCTGGCTGATTTTGTTTTATTATGACCAGATCATTAAACCATTTGATTCTTAGGTGTTCTATTAAATCTCATGTGTTGTTTAATTTTGCCTTCACGTGTTTCTAGATGTATAAATACCCTTTTTTTTTATCATTACGTTGTTTTTTCATGCTTGAATAATTTAGTTACTTAGTATAAATGAATGAAGTGGAATTTTCGCTGACAGTCTAAATCTAAATTTATTCTCTATTACACTCTAAATCTAAATGTATGCTATCTCCACAGCTGATACTACAAATGTCAAGAGAGGTAAGCAAGATAATTCTCTGGGTGTGTTCATCGATCAGACAGGTACCGCATATTCTCAGTGATTTATATAATTGTTGCCAGTTTAGAAAGGCTTGCCATTTTATTTTAAATGCTATTATTCAACAATAATTTGACCGAAATTGTGTAAACTGTGCAGAAAGATGTATTCATAATGTCAGTGTGTGTAATTTTTTGGCGACATCTGAAAAATAATCATTTGTTTTTTTTTTTACTATTCAGACTTAGATTGTGCAGTCTCAGGGTGTAAAATCTTTAAGTAGCAGGCGTGGGGTGGGGGTGGGAGACTGCACTCATTCAATAACATAGGTTGTATTTCACTGAAAAGGGGCGGTCGGGGGGGGGGGGGGGTGGTTGGTGTCAAATACAAAGGTTCTACAAAGATTATAAATTAAAACAGTGACAGGCGGGAAAATTTAGAAAAGACTATTGAATTTGTTGGGCCATATTAAAACATGTAACACTATAAAAACTATACTTGACGGGAAAATAGAAGGCATACGATCAAGAAGCAGACAACGAAACTAAAAGGAAGATATTGTTAAAAGTTTGCCGTACCACAGTTTGAGATGGTGGGCATCAAGGGCATAAGACAGGGCATGTGGAGATCGATTACAGCCAACCTTTGTTCTGGAGAAGATTCGTGTATTCTTCAGATTTACACTTTGATCTATTGTGTCCAATAAGTCATACTTCTTATTTTAACGAATTTAATTTTATGGTCACCTAACAGGAGGGAATCGCCGTGGCGGAGCGGCTAGACGCTCGTCGCGGATCGGAATGTCGTGGGTTCGCTCCCTGGCGGAACCGAAGCCGAAATTGTTTTCTTCAAAAATGGCCTTGGCTCCCAGGTCGACCCAGCCCTTATTGGGTACTGAGTGCAGTCCCGGGAAGTAAAGACGGCCGGCGTGATGCTGACCATATCACCCATCTTGTGCCGATTGGTCTATACAATTTAGGTCTAGCCCTATATGCCCAATACGCATAAAGGCGTGGAAAGGGGTCACTTACTTTATCTAACGCAAGCAAGCGGGCTATCAAATGCCCTAGAGCGTCTCTCGCAGAATATTTAATAATTATGTAATTCTTCAAATGTTTGTTTTAAATTTGATAAATTATGTTAAATAAGTAATATTTCTGATTTTCACAGGTAATCCTAGTTTACAGTCTGCAACATCTCGACCTCAGTGCCTTTGGATCCTTATTATTGTCCTTGTCCTGACCACTCAAGTGCATCAATTGCAGACTTTTTCTCTATTGACGTATCTTTGATATGTATTTATGGTGTTGTTTTCATGGAAACAATGGAGTGACCCCCATCGCCACAATGTTGAAGCCAGAAATGGTATTGTCTGAGGAATCCTTACAATTGATAGATTATCTCAACGAGGCAACTTGTCTGCATCGGTTGGTGTTGAGTCTTTATGGTCAGGCGTATACCTAGGAGGGTTTAGCTGCTGCCTCGATGCCTTTTTGTGAGGCTCGTTGCTTCCTGTCAGTAATGTGTTTTAACTGACAGGGAATCTGTATCAATTATCATCATGCCGTCTCAGCAAACCTCGAATTCAGCTAAGTTATCTATGGTAACTAGCAGAAAAGTTGACTCAATGACAAACCTGGTTATGTTCTCCTAATACATGACAAAACAGTTGAGTTTTCTACCTGAAGAAGCAGCGGAACAAATAAGTCAATTAACACTATGGTCTCTCACTGGCTGGTCAATGCAGCTAAGTTATCCATTTCAACTAGGAGAACAGCTGAGTCAACTATATAACCACATCAACCGAGGAACAATGCTTATGTTAAAGCGGGACTCTGAGCACGTTTGGACGTGTCGGGAGTGCGTGAAGATAACCCAGCTCATAATTTCTAACTCAGTTACCAGCTTGATTATTATATTTTCATTGTACATGACATAACAGTTGAGAACTGAACAGTTTTGAGTTATCTATCTCAACTAACAGAACAGATGAGTCGATTACCAACTTGATTATTATGTTCTCTTAATGCAAGACAAAACAGCTGAGTTATTGCAACTGAATGAATGATTGTGTAAATTTCAAAACTGAGTATTAGGCCCTCTAAATAGACAACCAATACAACTCAACTAACAGAAAAGATTAATCATTTACCAACTTGATCATTCTCTCCTCTCAAAACATGACAACGTAGCTGAGTTTTTGCAACTGAGAGAACAGTTGTGCCAGTTACCAATATTTCACATCAGTAGGCAACCGAGACAGCTGAGTTGCTGCAGTTACAAGAATGGTTGTGAACTTGAGCATTAAGTCTTATAAGTAGACAGTCAGAACAACTGAAACATCTTTCTCTATCTCAGCCAGCAGTTTAAATTACTAAGTTGAATACTATATTTTTTTTTTCAGTACATGACAAAACAGAAGAGTTATTGTAATTAACAAAGAGGTGTCAAATACAAAAATCCTATCATAGTTAATGACCACTGAGCTATTGCATTGAACAGAACAGTTGTGTCACTTACCAATTTAAGTATTATGCTTTCTAAGTAGACAACAATAATACCTGAGTCGTCTACTTCAAATAGCTGCGTAATTACCAAATTGATTATGATATTCTGGTACTACATGACAAAATATCTGATTTACTACAACTATCAGTAGAACCTTGTTAGTTACTGTCTATGTCTCTAAGTAGACATTAAGTACAGCAGTGTTATATCTCCACTGGTAGGTAGGTAAGTAGTTGTACCCCACTAGGACATCACACAAGAGATAAACACCCGATGGCACAAAGTGCCACCATGCGGATGAGGATCACTCGTGGAGAGGTCCCAGAAATCCTTTCAGCCGTTAAGCCATATTTATGGCCCTCCTCTGGCAAAGAACTGTAGCTTGCGAAAGTAAGCATTACACCGAAAAAGCAGCTGAATTATTGCAACTTAAAGATTAGTTGTGTAAATTTTTATGACCAGTTTCAACATTATAACTTCTCAATACAGCACCAATACAGATGAGTTATTGCAATATTCGGAATAGATGTGTAAAGTACCAGTTTGGGTATTATACCCGCTCTGTATATTTCTAATATTAAAGGGTATATAGAGCTAGACCTATATTTTTATAGACCAATCAGCACAAGATGGGTGATGTGGTCAGCATCACGCCGGCCGCCTTTACTTCCCGGGACTGCACTCAGTACCCACTCAAGGCTGGGTCGACCTGGAAGCTAAGGTCATTTTTTTTTTACATTTCTAATAATAAATACAATAAATTCAGAATGGTGAAGGAATGTGATAGATGCGTGAACAACCACTTGTAACATCATTTGGTATTACGCAGACGTTGTTAATGCCCTTAGAGAGATAGGACGATCCGGGGATTTCGGACTCAGCGTATCCGCAATAATTAATCACAACCCTTGGCGATGGCGGTGACTGGGCAGTACTGTAGATACCATATGTTGCAACTATTTTATATATAGATCTAGCCCTAAATACCCAACACGACTGAAAGGCGCGGAAAAAGGTCCTTTACTTTTACTTTATATATGCGATGATGGTTAGTTGCATATTCTTTACAGGACGTTGCAGAACCAACCCCAACAGCCACTGGCTGTTGTGTGGGTTTTTTTTCTAGGTTAATTTACGTCCAGTAGTTTACCATTGCTTCTGGATGGTATGCTTTCTTGATACCACTGTCGAAACCAACGCAAGGCGCATGGCCCGCAGCTGGGATCGAACCCGGCATCCGGCATTACGAAGCGTTCGCATCGACTTAGCCACAAAGCCGACTTTTGTATTATATATATATATATATATATATATATATATATATATATATATATATATATATATATATATATATGCAGTCGTGTTCGGCATATAGGGCTAGACCTATACATAAAATAGTTGCAACATATGGCATCTACAGTACTGCCCAGTCATCACCATCGCCAAGGGTTGTGAGTACAATACCTCCTCATAGCGCAATAAAACAGTATCGTCTGAACAGACGGAAAGGTGCCAATCAAATATAATAGTTATGTAAATTATCTTCTTTCCTAGTGCAAAATCTTTATTACAAAAACTGAAATGATAGTATAGTTTAAATCAGGAACTTCAGTATTCTGAGCCTTGAGAACACTAATTGCATATTTAAATGGTAGCACTTGTGAGATGGCTAAATAAGATGCTTATATTTTTTTAAATATGCAAAAGCCCGGCTTGCTAGGGTAGTTGGCTAAAACAGGATTGCGCTGTGACCACTTGACGAACTCCTTGTGGTCCGGGTTCCCACCCGGGGGTAGGCAGAAAAGCCACATTTCTCACAGATTTACGGTATTTATCATGGAATCAAGGCCGAAGGGTTGCGATATCCATAATACCGAGCCTAAGGGTTAACAACTCATGGCTTCTGGATACCCCCCAAAAAATATATACATATATAATATACAAAAAGTAAGAATAATATTGTTTTCTCCTCCCAAGCGAACTGGGCATAGTGCTTATTTTATTTAAATGCCACGCTGTGTGGCGTTAGTAGTCATTTCTATCCACAACCTTCTGTCTCGTGTACTGTCAATCAGCTCTGATACAGATGATCTTCCAGGCCATGAAGTCAGGCTGTCCAGCATCTGTTCTCTCGGCCTCCATCTGCCTCTCTTTCTCTACAACTTTCCTACCGTCAAGATCTGCTCCGGTTTTCTCCTTCTCGTCACGTGAACAAAGAATGTAGATTGTCTCTTTATAATGCGGATAATCTGTTCTCATTGTGAGTCAGTTTCTTTCAAGACATCTCCATTACTTGTTTTTATCCGTCCAGGGCATTATCATCAATCGCCTATAAAACCACATCTACACAGCTTCCATAAAATGCAGCACTTATCTACCAAATGCCCATGATTCACTTCAATATTTTAGCATAGGATTTATATAGGTTCTAAGAATTCTCTTTCTTTTCTCAATTGTCAAAGAAAGATTCCATAACAAACATTCTTTAATGCTGTCTTTGCTTGAGCTATTCTACATTTAACTTTTTAAATACATCTTCTGTCTAATGTTATCAGAGTAGCCAAGCATAGTGCTAAGTAAATCTGTTTATTAAAAAATCGGTATCTAATAAAATCTCATATTAAATAGAGTAACTGAGTCTCGGCTGAAGGAACAAAAGTTTAAATTATTAATGATGTAAGAAAATTCGTTACAAGGCCCCACAAAGTCTCTCTCTCTCTCTCTCTCTCTCTCTCTCTCTCTCTCTCTCTCTCTCTCTCTCTCTCTCTCTCTCTCTCTCTCTTGTTGTACCCCACCAGGACATCACACAAGCGATAAACACCCGGTGACACAAAGTGCCATCAAGCGGATAAGGATCGCCCGTGGAGATTTCCCAGAAACCCCTTTCAGTCGTTAGGCAATATTTATGGTCCCGCTATTTTCAGAGCACCCCGGCAAAAGCCAGGGAGGGGCTTCACAATAACCAAAAATTGCATCCCACAAGGGGATGACGAGATGTAAGTAAGTAAATTGTTACGCCACCAGGACATCACACAGAACGATAAACACCCGGTGACCCAAATGCCACCAAGCGGATGAGGATCACCTGTGGAGGGGTCCCGGAAGCCGCGTGCAACCATTAGGCTATATTTCGATCCATGGCAACAGCCAGGGTGGTGCTTCAGTAAAACGAAAAATTGCATCCCCCAAGGGGGATGGTAGGTAGTTGTACCCCACCAGGACACCACACAAGCGATAAACACTCGGTGGCACAAAGTGCCACCATGCGGATAAGGTTAACCCGTGGAGAGGTCCCAGAAACCGCGTTAAGGCTGACTGACTGACTTTCTACCCTCCAAGGACATCACACAAGCGACAAACACCCGATGACACAAAGTGCCACCATGTGGACGAGGATCGCCGTAGAGAGGTCCCAGAAACCGCGTTCAGACAACTGGCCATATTTATGGCCTGCCTTTATTGCGGCCCCTGGCAAAAGCCAGGGTGGGGCTTCAAATAACACAAAATTTCGTCCTACAAAGGACGAAACTGGATTACACTAACCGCGTTCAGCCATTAGACCATATTTATGGCGGGCTACATTGCCCTAGCAAGGGTTAAGGTGGAGCTCCAAAGTAACGAAAATTTACATCCAACAAGGGAATGTCTAGAATTAAAGACTGACTGACTGACTTTCTACCCCACCAGGACATCACACAAGCGATAAACACCCGATGACACAAAGTGCCACCATGCGGATGAGGATCGCCGTGGAGAGGCCCCAGAAACCGCGTTCAGATAATTGGCCATATTGATGGCCTGCCTATATTGCAGCCCCTGGCAAAAGCCAGGGTGGGGCTTCAAATTTTAAAAAAAAATTCGTCCTAAAAAGGACGAAAATATAGAATTAAAGACACAGATGACGTTGTGACATAGTTCTTATGGTATGCATTTTTAAAGGGAAATTAACAATGAAACAATCAAAATAATAGTATGCCTTTATAAATCAATATATATATATATATATATATATATATATATATATATATATATATATATATATATATATATATATATATATAGTTGTTTAAAAGCAACACACATTTTCAAGTAAAGTGTAGAAAATGGGACATAATTTTGACATATTTTCAAATAATTTACTTACCTCCCTTAGCAAGGGTTCGTTAATTAAATAGAGGTGTTTATTTAACCCAAATGGATTACTGATTACTGATTACTAATTTAAGAATGACATCAATTTTCAGCAAACAAACTTACAGATCCTCCAGATCTTTGGTGAAATCATTTCTTACAAATAAATTGTTTCGAAATAAACCGACTATCTCTACCAGCCGAAACTGCAAAACAGTCCGTCTACACGTGATCGGTGTGAATTCCAGGAAAGATTGCTAATGGTTTTCCTAAATTATTTTGTAAGCCTTTTGTATTGTT